TCAAAAAATTAAAATTTGAAAGAAAAACGTATCAATCATTCATATGACGTAGCAAAAGTTGTGTGTGTGTGTGTGTTGAAAACAGAGGGGGTCGGTTTGATTTGATTGGTTATTATTGGAACCAACAATTAGCAGTTCCATCTTGTCCAACCCAAGATTGTACCTGCGGTTGCACTTTTTGAGCTGTCTTCTTTTTTCCCTCTTAATTCAACGAACCACACCCCATCATACCATCAAAACGCAATCCAACAAATCTTTCTTTAATCCTTCACCCTTTCAACATTTATTAGACCCTTGATGGAACATATCTATTCAAGCTTAGATCCTATCTTAGTTTTGCATGGACGGACAATATCAAAACGGATAATATCAAAAGTAAAGTTCACGGAAACTTACGTTCAAAGTTGACAATATCATTTCATCGTGGTATCAAAAGTGATGTCTTTGTCTTAATTGTGTCGGTAGAACCATGTATTCATTAGTCGAAGGTATTTTAGATTAATCGTTGTAGGCATACCTTGAGGTCTATTGTAGTAGCACAAAATCCGTGTGGTGTTGGCTTTAGATTAAATGAGCAGCAACTTGGGTTTGAAACTAATCTCACAGACACAAAATAAAACATAATCATAAGCAAATCGAGGTAGGGAAAAGTTTCAGGTCCTCACTGCCATGTAATTTCTGGTTCTTGTTGCAGCTTTTGAGCCGACTTTCACCCTTCACTCTCTCTCTCTCTCCCCTCAATACATGGCCATGGAGATTCCAGAACATGTAATTAAAAACTCGGGTATATAACCCATTATCTCTTATATTCAACTTCTGGATAACCCCATATCTTCTTTGCCAGCGATTCATATAATTCAAATATAAACAAAAACTAAGCCAACCCCACCAATTTAATTCTTCCAACCTTTACATTTGATCCCAGTTACGAAAACAATAATCATCAAATGGCCGTGTTTTGAAATCTGGTTGGACAACAAAAATGATTCAAAACGAGCAAACACCTTCATTTCAAGCCTGTCTATGGAAAACCCTCTTTCACTATCAACAATCTGAGCTTTAATTTCCTCGAAGTGTAAAGAAAAACGAAAGCAGAAGCCAAAGGAATTCCTCTCTCTTTTGGGATAAAAACAGCCATAAGGAGAAAGAATTTACATTTCATATGTGATGGAAGACGCCAAAACTTCCTCCTCTTTCATTTTCTGACATTGACATTAACGGGTAGCTTCCAAAACTTGCTGAGTTCATTCGAGTTTCAATGTTCTTTGTTTCTTCCTCTGTACTTCCCTTCAATCCCATGTTTTTCATTTGGTTTGTCTCAAACTGTAACAATTTTTCAAGCTTGTTCTCCGATTCCCATGAAAAACCTCCACTGTTTTGGTACCCCGAATAATTGCTCATCACTGAGCTGTTGCTTGAGCTTTCTTTCACCTCATTCATGAAGAAACAACTGAACCCAGATCCTGAATTTTCTGAAAAATCTGTTCTTGACATGTTCCCATGTTCAGAACTTGTGTAGCTTGGCATCCCCATACTTGAATTTGAATAGAAAGTGTTATTGTACTGGTATTCAGCTGCTGTAAATTGTGAATTGTTATTATACTCACCGCCCAAGTAGGAGCTGAGAGAGTCGAATTCAATCTTGTTAACAAAATGCTGTGATGAATCCTCTGTTTGCTTGAAGTAATGATTTGAATCATTAAGAATCGAAGCTTCTGAAGAAATGGTGATATTGGAAACATTCCCTTGAAGAAGATGAGGCACTTCCTCTCTTGGCTTCTGGTCTTTCATGGCTTCCATATTGTCCTCCAATGGCTTGTGGGTTATTGGGTCAATTCCTTGCTTCATCAGCTTCTTTTTCAAACATGAATTCCAAAAGTTCTTAATCTCATTATCTGTTCTTCCAGGTAATCGGGTTGCAATCTGAGCCCACCTGCAAAAATCCCACTTCAAAATATTGAAAAAACAGAGCAAAAACAGAGCAGAACTTGAAATTCACCTGTTCCCCAGAACTTCATGGAGACTGATTATGAGATCCTCCTCTTGCTGTGAGAACATCCCTCTCTTCAAATCAGGCCTCAAGTAGTTTATCCATCTTAGCCTGCAACTTTTCCCACACCTTTCCAAGCCTGCAACAATCAATCAAACAGTAAAGAAAACAAAAAACAAAGGTCTTTAAAGGGAACAGAGCAATTTCTCTCTTCCATCCTTGTTCGGTCCGCCCCGAGAAGATGGCGACGTACCAGCGAGCTTGGGGACGGAGCTCCAACAGCCGACGCCGAAACTGGTAATGTAATTGAAGAGCTTCTCATCTTCCTCAGGGGACCAAAGGCCTTTGCGAAGCTTAGGCTTCAAGCAACAAGAATTGCGTCCCATTAGAAAGCTTAAAGAACAAAAACAGAGAAAGGAAGAATTGGGTGCAGAGGAAACAGGGGAGAGAAGCAGAGTGGCGAGGTGTGCTAATTTGTTTAAGAAAGGGATGGGAATTGAATTGGAATTATTTGTTTATATTGTTTCTGAAATAGGAGTTGGCGAAATCAGTGAATAGTAATCTCGTAATTAAGGATTAAAAATCATACTTAGAGTTCAAGTTTGATCACTCAATTCAGAAACAAAAAGGCAATTAAGTGGGTTTTACGCTAATCCGCCCTTCCTTTTGTTCATTGCCATTTGCTTTCCTTTCTAAGATACCTTTAAACTCATTCATAACATCTTTCTTATCAACTTACACCAACTCTTCTCAATCCACTAATCACATATTACCCCGACATAACTCAAAGAGTTAGAGCACGTGTGTAACAACCCAACTTCACCGCTAGTAGATATTGTCCGTTTTGACCTGTTACATATTACCACCCGCCTCAGATTTAAAACGCTTCTTCGAGAGAGAGGTTTCCACACCCCTACAAGAAATGTTTTGTACTCCTCTTCATCTAACGTAAGATCTCACAATCCACCCCTTAGGGCCAGCATTCTCACTGACATACTATTTGGTGTCTGCCTCTTGTACCATTTGTAATAGTTCAAACCCACCATTAGCAAATATTGTCCGTTTTGACTCATTACGTATCACTGTCAGTCTCATGGTTTAAAACGCATCTTCTTTCGTCATTCTCTCCGATCAATGAGTGATCTCACAACATATCTCCAATTAAGGGTCACGCGTTCAAATTCTCGTTCATTAAACTAAAAAAAAATGGTTAAAAAATAAATTTTGAGGGCTAAAATAAAAAGGGATTTAAATAACAAGGAATCTTTTCCTAAAAGAATAAGAAAATATTTTTGTTTTATTTCTTCCTCTTTCTTCTCTACTTCCTATCATTCACGACCAGTCGACATGTCATCTGAGAGTCAAGGATGAAATGGCAAAACCGAAGCCAGAAAAACAAGCCATGAAACCAAACACGAGTCCTCAATGCGTGCCAGCTAATATTAGCAGGGCACAACGTTTTCAAAACACGTTTTTTTGTTTAATTCTTTTTTAATTTTTTACAAAATTATATTTTAAACTAATGTTTATTACTAAATTAAGGAATGGAGGCAGCCGACACTATTATATCAACAAATCCTTGGCCCACCCTCCTATATTTTTCAATTTTGACTTCTAACATTAAATAATAATAATAATAATAATAATAATAATAATAATAATTATGCACTTTCTTTAATTATCACATATAAAAATACAGGTCTCGTGCAATCCACGTGGAAAATAAAAATACGGAGCAATAGTCTGTAAAACTGGTGTACACCTGGCGGTACAAAAAATTACGAACGCACTATTCTCCACCTGCAACGAAGCTTCAGACTCAATGATTGGTTGGAGGTCCGGTAATGGCCTCTGAGGCTGCCACGTGTAATAATAATTCAAAAAAATAAATTTCTCTCTCTTAATTCATGTATTACACCCCACCGCTCGTGTACGGCCACCCCTCCAATTACTGCCCTCTACAGCTTTCTGTCGGTCTATTCATTGTCAATGGTCAAATAATAAAAAAAATTCTTCTATTTAAATAAACTCCTAAAACTAAAATGATATTTAAAATAAAATAAAATAAAAACCAATCAATTAATTATCACAAAACTTTCAATATTTTTAATTTAAATAAAGAAAAGAAAAATGGTATAATTTCGTGATATCTTTTTAAGAAAATAAATATAAAAGATTTGATAGGATTTAATTCAATGAATCATTTAACATAATTAAAAGTTCCATCACTGTATATTTCTCTCTTTATTTTAGCATAATTTCATTTGAAATTTTAGATCTATTTTCACGTTCAAAAATATTTTATTTATCAATAATGGATAAATGGATAATAAAAATTACCTTATCTGTTAACTAAACTAAATTAATAAAAATATTATTAATTTAATTAGCATTTGTTTTAATATTTTACAAAATTTAAATTTCCTAATTTCAATAATTAAAATAAAAAATTATTGATTAGGTTAGTATCACATCATCCCATAATAATTTGGAAGCTTATCCAATAAAAAAAAAAGGGATTTTTAATTAATTATAAGTAATTCATTTATTAGTTTATATAAAGAGGGTTGTTAGTGAAATATCTTATCATATAGTTGGAGTGAGGTAACTTAAAAAATGGGTTATTAACAAAGTAGTTTAATAAAGGTTGAATTGATTTGAATTTAAATAAAGATTATATTGTCCCCTTTTAGCCTCTAACTAATCCCCACATTTTCCCATCAAATTCAAAACTTTCAATTGCATTCACAACCAAATTCCCTGTGTTTCAAATCACCACAAACATTTTTCCCAAAAAAAGAAAACATAATTCATGTCTTTCCTATTTTTCAATTGGTTCAAAGTCTTGATTCTGGCCTGCTGGTTGAAGGCCCATTGGACCGAGAGTTTTGTTGGGCCGATGAAGCCCAGTATTTGGCCCGGAAGCTTGGGCTTTGGACATGTCGACAAGGCCCATTTATGAACTGATTTATTAGTTCTTTACACCAGTGTCCTCCCGCTCGTTGTCGAAGTTTTTGCTGAACTACTTCGGCTTCGACTGTTGCAGGTTCTTGTTTTACGGTTTTCGTGTTTTCATTTTTCTTCAATTTGCGGCGACGAATTGAGGGTGGATATGGCCGATGATATTTACGGCAGCGCTTCACTTCCGTCAGGTCCCGATGGCTGGAAACGCCGTGTGACCTACTTCTACGAGCCCACAATCGGCGATTATTACTACGGCCAAGGCCATCCGATGAAACCTCACCGTATCCGCATGGCTCATAACCTCATTGTTCACTATGGCCTTCACCGTCGGATGGAGATCAACCGGCCCTACCCTGCTGGTTCCGAGGATATCCGGAGGTTTCACTCCGATGACTATGTCGATTTTCTCGCCTCCGTCAGCCCCGAAACGCTGTCGGATCATGCCTTCTCTCGCCATCTCAAGCGCTTTAATGTTGGCGAGGACTGCCCTGTTTTTGATGGCTTATTCGGCTTCTGCCAGGCCTCTGCTGGCGGCTCCATTGGTGCGGCCGTCAAGCTCAATCGCGGCGATGCTGATATTGCTATCAATTGGGCCGGTGGGCTTCATCATGCTAAGAAGTCTGAGGCCTCCGGTTTTTGTTACGTCAATGATATTGTGTTGGGCATTCTTGAGCTGCTGAAGTACCACAGGGTAATCATTTTAAGAAGAGTATTTGTGTTATCTGCTATAGTTTTGACCAACTGCGCTGCATACTTTGTTCATTTAGTATATATTTTTTCTTTTCTGGTCCTTGAAGTTTGAGTAGGATTGGTTAATTTCTGCTTGAAGTAGACGTATTCTTCCTTGTTCTACATGAAAAATGAAAATTTTGCGTTTGCTATAGTTTTGACCAACTGCGCTGCATACTTTGACAATTTTTGTACTGTTATTTTGTGTTTTACTTCTAATTCTTTTGGGTTTTCGGGCTTGTGGGGCTACAAAGAGCACAAGGTTTGGGAACATTTCTCATCAGTTTCTAGACCAATGCATTCGATCGTTCTGTTAAAGCCTTAGCTATGCTCCACTTTCTAAGCTGCTCAATATCATCGTGCAGCGGGTATTATATATTGACATTGATGTCCATCATGGTGATGGTGTGGAGGAGGCATTTTACACTACCGACAGGGTAATGTCGGTCTCCTTCCATAAATTTGGGGATTTCTTTCCAGGGACTGGACACATTAAGGATGTTGGGGCAGGGTCTGGTAAAAACTATGCTCTTAATGTCCCTTTAAATGATGGAATGGATGATGACAGTTTTCGTGGTCTGTTTAGGCCACTCATTCAAAAAGTCATGGAGGTGTATCAGCCAGAGGCAGTAGTACTCCAATGTGGTGCTGATTCATTAGCTGGTGATAGGTTGGGGTGCTTCAACTTATCTGTGAAAGGCCATGCAGATTGTCTTCATTTCTTGAGATCATTTAACGTTCCTTTAATGGTATTAGGTGGTGGAGGATATACAATCCGCAATGTTGCTCGCTGCTGGTGTTACGAGGTCTCTTTCTCTTCGTTCTTGTCCGTATATTTAATTCTACCTCGTAGAATTAGGAACCATCCTTACAAGTTTCGTTTGTGGAGATTTCTCTCAACAGACAGCGGTTGCTGTTGGAGTTGAACCAGACAACAAATTGCCTTACAACGAGTATTTCGAGTATTTTGGACCTGATTACACGCTTCACATCGAACCATCCAACATGGAGAATCTAAATTCACCTAAAGATATGGAAAAAATAAGGTGACTTTGGGATTGAGTGTTGTTCATTTCATGGTATACTTGGTCTGCTTCTTTCAGTTGAACATTGTAAACTTAATTTCTTTTGTTGTTGATAATCTTATCAGAAATGTTCTAAATGCTTCTGTAGTCTGAAATTTAACTTTCTTAGTTGTTGTCATTGGTTAACATTGGAATTGCTCCATTCTGTTAGGTGTGAACACTGTTAACATTGGAATTGCTCCATTCTTTTATGCTGTCTGAATGAAAAATTTTATATAAACAAGTTGCCTCCTTCATTTCTCCTTCTAGGAACACCCTGCTGGAGCAACTCTCTAGACTCCCACATGCACCCAGTGTACCTTTCCAGATGACTCCCTCCTCCGAAGTCCCCGAAGAGGTTACAGAAAACCCATTACTATTATTATAGTACCCTGCACATTACTTCATAATTTCTGTTTTTATGTAGCGTTTTCTTCTCTTGAGATCATGTTGGTTCTTTGGTGGTAAGGTGGAAGAGAACATCGACCGGAGACCGAAACGCCGCATTTGGAACGGTGAGGATTATGATTCTGCACCTGAAGAAAACAGAAAGCGACCAAACATCAGTGAAGGGCATGGTGTAAATAATCTGACCAGGTTAACCCATAAGCTATATTTTCTTTCTTATACTTCTTTCCTGAGAAGGATATATCTTGAGCTAATCATTGAGGCATTCCAATTTCTGCAAAGAGCTTAGGTTTAATAGCTGAACATCCGATATATATGATGCAGGGACGATGTCGATGGTATGGAGGAAGATAAAAACATGGACCATCGAACTTGCTGACACAAAAACTCGTGTTGAGTTCTCGACGACCTTGAAGTCTTTAACCAATTTCGATAAAGACACCTAGATCAAGCCTGATTTTCACTTTTGATTCGCATACCAATTAATCTTCTGTTTTCAACATGAAAGTTACAATTTGTACACAGGACATACACTGTAAACAGAAATCAATGGCATTTACATCGGAGACTTTTGTACCAATATTTTTGAGTTGATTTGAACATTATGATCTTCTCTGGTATGTGTGAAATTCATAGTTCAGAATTGAAATTACTCATCACGTTGCTTCTATATTCTTATATATTGGTGGTATGTAGTCATAGTTCAGCGGGATAAAAGTATATATTCTCGACCGAAAGGCTAGAGTTTAAATCTCTCTCACCCTACTTGTTATTGAACAGCAACTCTTGCTTATAAACAAATATGAAAATTTGATGCCATTAAGTAGTAAGAATCCCGTTGATTTTTCCCATTTCTTTCCATGTTTTTGAAGGAAACCCTGATCGAGAAAAGTAGGAGCTCAGGATACTGGTGATTCTATCCTCAATTTGCATCTCGCTCGCCAAAAATCCTTTTTCACAGAGGAGCAGTTTTGAATCGCGAAACCCACTTATGTCCTTTTATCTCCATATCCTTACGTCGGAGCTTTCCAAGACTTATCTAACTCTTTTACGAACAAAGGAACTGCATGCTTTTATCACCAAAACCCATCTTGCTTGCGACCCATTTTACGCAACTAGAATCGTCAGGCTTTACTCTATCAATGGCCGACTCAACTATGCCCGCCATGTGTTCGACAAAACTCCCAACCGAACTGTCTACCTCTGGAACTCAATCATTCGAGCTTATGCGAAAGCCCATAAATTCGGTAATGCATTATCTCTCTTCTTTACAATGTTTGGAACTGAGACTCTGCCCGATAACTTCACTTATTCATGCATCATAAGGGCATGCGCTGAAAATCTCCATAGAGAACGGCTGAAACTTGTTCATGGACGTGTTTTAGCATCTGGGTTTGGATTAGATCCTATCTGTTGCAGCGCGCTAGTCACTGCATACTCAAATCTAGACCTTATTGAAGATGCAAGCAAGGTGTTTGATGTAATGCCTCATCCAGACTTGGTTATGTGGAATTCGATCATTTCTGGTTTTGGGTATCGCGGGTTTTGGAATCAGGGGCTCTTGCTATTCTCTAGCATGAGGAATTTGGGAGAACATCCGGATGGATACACGGTAGTTGGTGTAGCATCAGGTATAGCAGAACCAAGCTTACTGAGTACTGGCAAAGGTATTCATGGATTTTGCCTCAAGTGTAGTCTTGACTCCAATGAGCACGTAGCTAGTGCACTTGTGAGCATGTATTCGAGGTGTAATTGCATGGATTCAGCATATTTAGTTTTTATTAGTTTGATACAGCCTGATTTAGTTACATGGTCTGCTTTGATAACTGGGTATTCTCAATCTGGTGATTTCTGGAAGGCACTGTTTTTCTTTCAGAAACTGAATATGCAGGGCAAGAAACCGGATGCCATTTTGATTGCCAGCATTTTGGCTGCTGCTGCTCAATCAGCCAACATAAGGCCTGGCATTGAGATACATGGCTATGCTCTTCGACAAGGGATAGATTCAGACGAAATGGTATCCTCTTCTCTCATAGACATGTACTCCAAGTGTGGCTATTTGAGTTTGGGAATTCGTGTTTTTTATATTATGCAACGAAAAGGTATTGTGGCATACAATTCTATAATATGGGGAATGGGTCTACATGGGCTTGCATCAAAGGCATTGGAAACGTTCGAGGAGATGTTGGGTATTGGTCTAATGCCTAATGAGTCTACTTTCTCTGCTCTCCTCTGTGCTTGCTGTCATGCTGGGCTTAACTCTGTTGGTAAGGCGATTTTCAAAAGGATGACAAATGAGTTTGGCATCAAATACAGAACAGAACATTATGTTTACATAGTAAAGCTTCTTGGAATGAGTGGGGAGTCAGAAGAGGCTTACGATCTTGTCCTGTCCTTGCCAGAACCTGTAGACTCTGGTGTTTGGGGGGCTCTGCTGTCCTGCTGTGATGCTTGTGGGAACCTTGAACTGGCTGAAATTGTTGCACAGAAGCTCTTAGAAAATAATCCCGACAAAATGGCTTATAGAGTAATGCTCTCTAATATCTATGCTGGAGAAGGGAGATGGGATGATGTGAAGAAGCTAAGGGATACAATGACTGAAAAGGAACGAGGAAAATTGCCTGGGCTTAGCTGGATTTGAGAGTTTTATGTTTGTGATTAACCGTGCAAGGGTTGGTGTAATAGGTGGGTTGTGAGATCTCATATCGGTTAGGGAGAGGAACAAAGCATTCTTTACAAGGGTGTGAAAATCTCTCTCTAGCAGACGCGTTTTAAAACCATGAGACTGACGGTGATACGTAATGAACCAAAGCGCATAATATTTGCTAGCAATGGGTTTGGGCGGTTACAAATGCTATTAGAGCCAGACACTAGGCAGTGTGCCAAAGGGGGTGGGTTGTGAGATCCCACGTCGGTTGGAGAGGGAAACAAAGCATTCCTTATAAGGGTGTGGAAACCTCTCCCTAACAGACGAGTTTTAAAATCATAAGACTGACAACGATATGTAAGGACCAAAGTAAACAATATCCGCTAGTAGTGGGCTTGAGTTGTTACAGTTAGCAGGTAAGTCGCTTGATCATCATGGATCATTACATTCAACTTGAATATTCATAGCATTGTTTTCGACTTTTGAAATGTATCTGACAACAGCTTTACCCACACTACAACCACAAGGATCTATGTTCAGTTTCTCTAGCTTACACTAAATAGCGAGTCTTATTGATTGAGTGTTAGAAATTTGGTGTGTTCTTTTTATATATTTAAAGATAAACAAAACACTATTCTCTTGTTTGTTGACAGATTAGAGAGAAGACCTAAAGAAATTGGCTGGCTTTCCAAGCTGCTGATTCCGTTGCAATTGGCTTCACCACATAGCACCCATTGTTTGAACTGCAAGAACTTAATCTTCCTGTTATAGTGCCATCGGAACCAGGATAGTCCATGGATAATCTTCTCTCTTTTTCATGCCTCTTAGCCCTTTTTCTTAGATTCTGTCTCTTCATTATGGAGGTCAACGTAGCTTTGCCACTTCTAGCATTCACTGGCATCGGCATTGCCTCAAGACCCATCAACTTAGCTACCACTCCTGGTTTGCGCCACAGGACATTCTCTCCAGCTATCGTTGATGGCAACCGTAAGGCTGTCTCCAATGTCAAATTGAACTCATTTTCATGAACTCTCCCTTTGAGAGCATATTCACAGCAAACTGACTTCCGCCCAAACCTTTCTGCAGCATCCAAGTTCCTAAATGAAGATCTATACATTGCATCCTTTCCATCCAGGGAAAACCGAGGATACTGATTCAAAGCATTCCGTGCCGATCGCAAGATATCCGAGTTGTTTACACACGACATCCTGCGACCTCGAATCTTGTCGTAGTTGTAACGTTTTGCCCTTCTTGCTGTCTCCTCCTCTAGTTCCAACTGTAAGATCATCTCCTCCAAGGTCGGCGGGGTTTGTCTGGAATGCAGGTCGGGCGAGACGGGGAATTGATCCTGGTTGGTTTTGAGTTGGTTGAGAGTGGTGGTAGAAGCGTTGCCATTGCAGAAAGTTCTGATGCCTTTCCTTATCTTTGCAGCCAGAGAGTTCTTGAAGAGAAAGAAGGAGAGCTCCTTCATTTTGAATGCATGAAGAAGGCGGTGCAGGATCAAAACTTGGAGGTAGCCTCTGATTCTTCAATTACTTTTGCCATTTTTCTTTTTTTTGAAGATGAATTCTGAACAGAAATTAGTATAAACTGTGAACTGAATGAATGAATGAGAGCGGTGTGGTCTGTTGTTCATAGGGTTAATTAATATTAATGGTATTCACATGCCATTTTGATTGAAAAGAGGCTCTCTCTTTCACAAGGAAGCTCATGCATCATTCAAAACCCTCTTCACTTTAATTTTGATGTACTTTTATCAATCCTTACAAATAGTATTACCCATTACAAATTTCCCATGAAAAAGTTACCTCAAATGGAATAAGAATCAGAATCTGTCTGGTGGGCCCTCATTGGGCCTACTCTCATCCAACTTTGGGCTTATTTGCCTAGTATAGGCTCTCCTTTCTAAACTAGATTAAGCCCAATGTTGGCTTGTATGAATAAAAAATATTTCTTTCTACCCTTTTTATTTATTTCCTTTTTTTTCAAATTCGCTTAATAATATATAATTCATGTATGGTTTATTGTGGTATTTATTTAACTATAAACAAATAAATGCCAAATTATTATTATTTTAATAAAGGAAAATATGAATAATTTAAAAGAGGGAAGCTTCTGTATGCACATGCACTGACTCTCCTTGAAAACACCAACTATTCAATGGGATCCACATACAGACTTGTCACTACGGAGTCATACAGCAATATTGAACAACAAATAGCTTTTTTTTTTCTTTCTTTTTCTTTTTTTTTTTTTACCGAAATATTTAATTTTAAATTGATTTTAATCGCATTTCTTATTAACCCATTTTAAAATTTTAAAAATATTTCTAAATAATTTTGAAATTTTTTTAGTGGTTGCCGTTGAAATTTGAATCTTTATGTTAATGTTAATATTATTATTATTTTCTTTATATTATTTTGGAGTAATAGCTCCTATACGACTGACCTTCCCAAAAATGTTATATGGTTTGAGGTTCAACCTCATCGTATGGTCTCTTGTCCATTACCAAGATATTATGGATTCTTTTAAAAGAGAGAAGTCAAGGTGGTCCCTCTATAGACTACACTCACATCGATCACAACTTAAATCTCGTGAGTGAATAGAAAGTTAGGGTTCATGTTGAATCTCACTTTGAATTATAGTTTATCCTCTAAAGATGGAATTCGTCCTTAAACCTCAAATCAATTACAGAGGGTGCATAATACCACTTAACTACATAGTAGTCCAGAGATCCACTATGCCAAAATCGAAAGAAGCTCCATCCTAACCGAAAGAAGCTACATCCTGCCCTACAGATCATGAGTCAACAATAATGAATGATATATAGTTTGTATTATAACGATAGAAGAGCTTATGTACGTATTTTATGTTTGGAAAGGGACAGAAAGAAGAAGAATTGGAAGTGATCCAAAGAAAGGGACTAATAAACTCAACCACACACTCACACACACGCATAGTTTTGAATTCAAACTTGAAAAACTTTAGAAAGAAAGAAACCCCACACTACCTCTCTGCCACTCTCACTCATCAGAACTACAAACCCACCTCCCTCTACTAACACTTTTCCTGTGTAGCCACTGCCCCCCTTTCCCCTATTGCCTTCTACCATACCATACCACCGTAAAGTGACATATTATGTTCCTAAACTTTTGTAAATTGATGATTTAGGCTTCGTTTGATAACTTGAATCTAAATATGTTACTATAAGAAGGACGAAAATCATTAAAGAAGTTGTGAGAAAGTATACATAATTTTAATGATAGAGACTAACAAATACATTGTAACAAAATTTAAAGACTAAATTGTAAGTTTAACTTCAAAACCCTAAACATAAATATGGAATAGACAGTAATACTCACAAAAAAAATTTCTTCCAACCACTAAAGAAATAAATAAAAACTTAATTGGGACAGCCTCAAAATTTTCACTCGGTCACTCAGTTAAATGCAAGTTTAAAAGATGATTCTTTGTTTCTCCTGTTGTTTTTTTTTTTTTTTTTTCCTTCTAAGAAATATGATCAATTTATTTCAAGTTATAATTTCATGATATAATAGGAAAAGTGTAAGAATCTTTAAGAATATTTGTTTAAAATAACAATAAAGAAAAGGGCACCCCGTGGAATTTTCTAAGACAACACATTATTATAGTAAAATTAAAGAATACTAAAATAATATATCCTATTGTATATATTATATTATTAGAGTGGATATATAGGGTTCATTCCAATTATGTCTTTTTATATGCTCTATTTATTAATGTCCAGATATATGTCCAAATACAAGATATAAAATTATACTAACACTTAAAATCTAAATTCTAACTCGACCCCAAAAAAAAATGGAAATAAGAAAGGCATCTCCGTCCCAATCTTATTCTATAGACATTTTTACTGTTCTTTCATATTCTTATCAAATATCGTAATAATTAATTCACTCTCGTCTATATCAGTACAATAGTATTTTTTTTATCTAGCTAGATAAGTTTTTTTTGTTTGTTTATTTATTGAATTATAAGATTAAATTTGATAATGTGTGACATTGATATTTGTATTTTTGTGGAATATGGTGAGCAGTTGGGTTAAAGGCGTGATAGCAACATTGCCGGGAGACCCCTCCCCTAGACTACGCACATCGCCCTAAAAGCCTACCCCTAAGCTAAATAAATAAATAGATAAATGTGTATACTATAATTGAATACCTAAAATTATCAATCAATTGAAAGAGAACAAGAAGTACTAACCCATCAACTTGATTTTACATCCTCTACTCTGTTCTCTTCGTCACCAAATATCATGTTCTTCATTCCCTAACAATACCAAAATGGTGGGCTCTAACCCCATTAAATGCCACATTTATAACTTAATACTAGTCTTCAAGATATGAGATATTTGTATATGATCGAAACGAAATAAATTCTTTATTTTCTTGGTTCAACCATATGATCGATATGTATCTCTATGTTTAACTAGTTTAACCAGAAAATTGTAATTTACTAATCAAACTAAACATTGATTACGTGAATAAAACATCAATTAAACAATAATCACATGAAGGGAATGGGAAGAATTCAATCAGTAGTTAGAGAATTTAATGATGAACTAAATAATAGGATGTCATCATACGCACATGAACACACAAAGGGAAAAATGATATTATAATTGAAAAAAATCACCATTTACTTACCAGTAAAATCAAGTGAGGCTCTGTTATTTTCATCGCTGGTTTAAATTTCACCCAAAAGAAGATCATTGGGAGTTAAAAAGTAAAACATAAATTGATGCGCAATAATAGCAACCATTTTTTTAGTATGATGCGATATGATTGAATTTGAAACAAGTTACAGAGAGAGAGAAAGAGAGAGAGAAAGCAAAAGAAAAAGAAAGAGATATGTGGTTTATTTTGCAAGTTGCAGTGCATGGCCTCGGTCAGTACAATCGTGATAAAATCCTGCTATCAGTTTTCTTTCTTTCTTTCTTTCTTTCTTTCTTTCTTTTTGGTGGTGAATCTATCATGAACCTACATGTCTATATACTCAAAACACTTCATCAAATTTCAATCTTTCATCTAAATTCTAACTTCAAATCTTTTCATTCTCACTACTTAAATAACGAGTATACTTGTGTAATGAAAAGAGTATAATCTTAATAGCTTTATACTCGTTACTTAAGCAATGAATGAATGGGTATTGAAAAGGGTATTATAATGTTAATGGAGGTATTCAATTGAAAAAAAATGATAGATATATGAAAATGATAGGTATGAGGTGTGTAATGGGGAGTGCATGAAAAAAATTAGAAGGGAATAAAAAAGGGAGACAATCCCACATCCATGATAATATTATTGGATGCAGGGTCATAGTCATTCTTTTGTTAGTGTACCCACCATTTATTATCCTTGTCTTTTGCCTCCATTCCCTTCTCTCTGCTTCTTCCCATCCACTAAATATACTCTTTTCCCCATCTTTCCCTCCACTCAATACCCTCAATTTTTGTCACTCATTTCACTTCTCTCTCTCTCTCTCTCTCTCCCTCCCTCTTTTCTCTCTTCTTCTTCTTCCAGTTAGGGTTTTGCTTCAGCTTGTTCAGCAGAGCTTTGCAGAATTCAGTGACTAAATCACCCTCACAAGTTAGTTTATCAAAGGGAAAGGAAGAAGGGTTTTAAAGCTTTCTCACTGGAAAGGTAAAAGGGAGTTGGTTTTTTGGTGGTGGTTGTTTTATTTATACTTTTCTTTTTTCTTTTGAATTGATTCCAAAGAAAAGGCAAAGACCTAGATCACATAAGAGAGGTAAGTTTATGTAGCTCTCTTTGTTTTGTATGAGTAAAAGAAATGCTAGAAAAATAATAAAAGTCGTGTTTTGGTTTGTTTGTTTGTTCTTATAAATTTAGTTATTTTTTCTCTATCCATAGGTAAGAAAAAGGCTAAAAAAGAGAGGAATTAATCTAGACCCTTTGACGCGTATGGGGCTAGGTAGAGCTTAATTTAGGGCTCTCTCTTACCCATTGGGTTATATCATATTTTGACGTGTGTGTGTGTGTGTGTGTGTTGAAGAAGAATATGCACATAAAATTCTGATCACCTTTACTTTGTTTCACCACTGTCATGTCTCACCTTCTTCACCTGAATTGCAGAATTTTGAAGCCTGTCTTTGTAGCTGCGTTGCACGCAACCTACTTTCTTCTCAATTTACACTCTGAAAAAGAAAAAGAAAAAAAAAACAGAAACAAAGAGACAGTATATGCAACAAGCTTCAAAAGAATCCAGAGAGAAGGTGAATTTAGTTAAGAAAAGGATTGATTGTATAACGAAAATTGAGAAGCCTAAATGAAGGGACCTAACCGTTTGGTTAAAGGGTCGGAATTCGAACAAATACGTTAATCCGAGCATAGTTTAGTCTAAAGTTCGTTGGTTCGATCCTCACCCTGCAATTGTGGAACTAAAAAAAAAAAAGATGAAATTAGGGAAGATGGATACAGAAATATTTAAATATATATCTGCAATTTAGGCAGCTGTAGCAGAAAATGTTTCTGCAAATTTGATTAGGGTGTTGTACGTGTGTCTGTCCACGGGAGAGATTTTTCTGAGTACGCACGCGCGTGAAAGAAAGAGAGAGAGAGAGAGACAGAAGGTTAGGATCTTGATTTTCTGCACATGAATTAAACTTGGGATCAGTTACAAAATTCTAAATAACTTTCTTCTTCTGAATTTCATCTGACTTGTTCTAGAAATTCCTTTTCTTTCACTGATCTCCAGACTTGCATACACATAATATATATAAAATGACCAAAAATAAATAAACCAAAAGGTTTATTAATGAACATAAAATTGAAACATTATGGAGTGTTAATTGTTGGTTTAGTTTCTTAATTATAAATATATGCTTGTGTTGTTAGAGGAATTAAAACTTTAAGGTAAGAGAAGGGGGGGAAAGTTGATTAGAGCATATGGATTAGTTAGAAATTGATCATTTTCTTACTTTGATTGGTTAAGGCAGGATGGCATCATCAAGTTCTTACAACTCTCCCTGTGCTGCTTGCAAGTTCTTGAGAAGAAAATGCATGTCAGGTTGCATTTTTGCTCCTTATTTCCCACCAGAAGAGCCTCAAAAGTTTGCCAATGTGCACAAGATCTTTGGGGCCAGCAACGTGACAAAGCTGCTGAATGAACTTCTGCCTCACCAAAGAGAGGATGCAGTGAACTCTCTTGCGTATGAGGCCGAAGCCCGAGTCCGGGACCCGGTCTATGGCTGCGTCGGAGCCATCTCCTTCCTCCAAAGGCAAGTCCAGAGGCTCCAGAAGGAACTCGACGCTGCGAATGCCGACCTAATTCGGTACGCATGCAACGAGATACCTAATGCAGGAGTAAGTCATGTGGTTCAACCAAGCCCTGGTGCTCGCCCAAGAGCTTTGGATCAGTTTCATACAAGTTCATCAACTGGGTATTACAATCAACATCTTCCTGCTTTTCCCATGGCTTATCCACTGCCTTGGAATGAAAACTCTCCTGGAAATGACATCAATGAAGGAGGAGGGGATGGCAATATTTGAAGAAATCTTCTCCAAAAAAAAATCCACAAAATAGGGTTTTTTCAACCCTAAAGAGAACTTCTCTCTTCTGGTATGTCACTTCCTCATATAAATTATATATATATATATATATATATATGATGGTTTTTCTAGCTAGCTTCCCTCATTCACATGGACATTTGTCTAGCTGGATGACTTAGTAAATTTAATTTTTCTAGTATCATTTAGAGGGTCTTGAGAATTAGTTTCTTAAACCCCATTATCACTCTCCCATTTAAAATCCAAAACAAGTTCTCTGAGTTATGTTCTTTTTTTTTTTTTTTTTTTTGGTTCTT